AAAGATACGACAGAGAAGATTTGATTTTAGCCAATTAAAACTGATTCTATCTTTGCATTTCAAACATTAACCCAATGAAATTATTCAGTCCAATAAAATTTCATTTAATTCTTTTTTCTTTTTTCATTATTATTTTCTTGCTGTCATCATTTATATCTACTTTTATTCTTTTAAAATAAGCATAAAGAAAGCGCATTAAATAAAAATGATGCGCTTTAGTCTGACTGATACAATGCGCAATTGCAATTCAATCTGATAGTAAAAAAAAAAAATTTTTTTAATTTGCTAAAAGAAAAATTCGTTTTATAATAAAAATTATTATTATTATTATTATTATTATTATTATTATTATTATTATTAATTATTATTATTATATTGTTGTTATTGTTATTGTTGCTGTATTATCACATCACTGAGTGATAATTTAATTTTTTAAATTATCAAATATTCGAAATGATTTAATTTAATAATTAATGAATTTATTGATTTTTTTTCATCAAAAATTTTCGCTTAATTTAGTGATATTTTTCAGCAATGCAAATTTCTCAATGCAATTTCAGAGACGAAATTGTACGAAATTTGATATAACCATTGAATTAACTCTGCGTGACATTTTGAAGGAGCATTTGTCGGAAGGTTGTAAAATATTTTATGATCTTTCATGGCCATCCTATAATAGCAGCAAAAATTTTTCATCAATTTTAACAAATCTACACCTGCCAATAAGCCATGTATTTATCAAAATCATTTCTCATTTCTGGTTTTCAGATCTTTCATTTCCGATTATTTTCAAATTTATTATTAATCAATTATTTCAAAAAGATGAGTAATTTTAGATTGAGTATTAATTAAATACGAGAGGGAGAGAGAGAGAGAGAGAGAGAAAGAGAATGAGAGGGAGAAAGAGAGCAAATAAAAGGAGAGATAATAATAAACAATAATTTGAAATGAATAATTAAATTTTTTTCTTTTTTTTATATGGTTTAAAAAAATTTTTGAAAAAAGTTATATAATTGCATAAATAACTGAATAACTATTCAGTTAGTATATGATTCTTTTTTTTTTAATTTAAATTATTTACAAACTATTTCCATTCTATATTTACATTTTTTTTTTTTAAAGTTTTAATATTTAACTAACCGATTTAGCAAAAAATGTTTTCCCGCTATAAGCTGCACCAACAATCAATAATGGTCGATTAGAATTGGTAAGCCAATGTCGAAGATATTTTCGTGATTCATTTCTTTCCATCATTTTTATCAATCTTTTTTCGTCCTCGTTGTTGTTGTTGTTGTTGTTATCACTGTCCTCTCATTTTACATCATCGAAAATATTTTTAAATTTGAAAATTTATTCCAATGAAATATGAAATATATCTGAAAATTTCGGGATTTTATCAATAAATGAAATCAAATTTCAAAATTTCAAATCGAAAAGTTTATCACAATATAAAAAGAATTGAATGAAAATAAAATAATCGAAAAATTTTCAAAGATTTGTAAAAGCATTGAAATTTAAACTTTTCATTATAATGTCGAAAAAAAAAAATGGGAAGAAAAAAAAAAAGAACTGCAAACAATAAGCCAATCTCATTAAGAGCCTAGTAGGCTAAACTTTTTTCTCTCTTTTCAATCATTCCCCATTCCTAAATATTTGAACCATATGAAGACAATTGAGACTAGTAGAGTAAAATCCAAAAGCAAGCCAGCAATCCTCCTTCATAGCTTTTTGCCCTTAGTGGTGCAGAGTGAAAATGATGATAACGATGATGATGATGATGATGATGATGACGATGATGACGATGATGATGATGATGATGGTGATGATGATGGGAGGGAGTTGAAAGGGAAAAGGGCGGAACTTTACCAAACTGCAAGAATCCTTCTTTTAATAACTAAACTGCGCCCTTTATGCACTATGTTACATAAATAATGCTTTCATTATATTATATTATATTTATGTGTTTCTGTATTTATGTATTCATGTATTATATATGTATATATATTACACATAGCATACAATATTATGACATATTGCGCATAATAATATATTTAAATATATATCACAAATACCTAATCAAATACTTTTCCTTTCCTTGGCTAATTATAGCGCCTATTTGGCTAAACTGTGCATTATTTGAGTTATATGCAAATTATGAATGCATATTTCATTTAGCATATAAATATATGCATGTGCGTGGGTGTGTGATGCTTGTGGGTGGTCTGTGGGTGATGTATGAGGGTGTTGTTGATGTGTGGGTGAAAACATGTGTGGGTGTGGATATGCCCATCTATATATATATATATATATCACCGTAACAAAATAAAGACGCAACTGGCACTTTAAAACTCGAAATGACATTAAATAACAACCGAAACATCATCACTATGTGTGTGTGTGTGTGTGTGTGTGTGTGTGTGTGTGTGTGTGTGTGTGTATTTGTCTGTCTGTGTATGTGTGTGTAGGTGTCACTTATCACAACAAAATCACATCTTGATAATATTGATAGCTGAATGATAACAGCTTAATCAAACTTTACAATTAATTGCTTTGACAAAGTTTCATTTTATGAAAGAATTAGGATATATATACATATATATGTGTGTGTACACGTACGTCTATCTGTCTGTCTGCCTGTCTGTCCATCATATTTTTGAATATGAATTGTTGTATAAACTTAATGATATTTCATTTCCTATACATTTGATAATAAAGAAATAAACAAGTGAGAAAACTCGTTTATTGATTTAAACTGATAACTGATATCAATCAATCAATCATTGATAAAGATAATAAAGAAAATGAGGAAGAAGAAACAGTTGGATTTCAAAATTTGCTGAAATGATATCATATCATTTTCTTCCCGTTTTTTGTTTGTTTCTTTTCAACCTATTTTTATTTACATAAAATAAAATCAAATTAACGCTGAATGAATTGAAAGGATTGAATAATTAAATTTCATTGGAGTAAAATTTGAAATGAGAATGAACAAGTTTATTTGTTCAATTATAATTTATACATTTGATGAAATACAATTCTTCATCTGTTTTTTTTTAATTTTAAAAAATTAAAACACTTGGAAAAAAAAGGAGAAAAAGAAAAATTAGAAACTGTAATTTCATTATAAATAATAAAATTGAACGTAATTTTTATTAAAAGAGATTTATCGCTGAAAATAAAAAAAAAAAAATGACACATTTTTTCGAATGAAGAAATTTCATTCTCAGAATATTATTTGATAATTCAATATTGTTCATCAATAAAACGAAAAAAAAAACAAGTTTAAAATGTTAAAATCAATTTTAATTTGAAAAAAAAAGTTAAGATTAAAAAATTTTTTAACAATTTATTTATTCAAACTTAATTACAGAATAAATAAATTTCTTGCAGCATATGCATATATTACATTAATTAGGCTATTATTTTATGAAATTCATTATAAACATCATCGAAAATCTTCACGACATTTTATCTTATTAAAGAAACAAAGAAAGAACGAAAGAACGAAACCATAGGGTAGCAAATTTTCCGGAAATTAGTAAATAAATCATAAATAAAAGGAAATTGAAATGTCGTAGAAATTTTGAAAAAAATTTTTCAAGTTTTCAGCAAAATGTAATAAACAAAAAAAGGAAGCAAAAATTTTACCGGAAATTATAAATTCGAAATTCTTGATAGAAGGAATTTCATTTTGATTTTGGATTGATTATGATTGTCATAGCAACGATAATAAGAAATAATGAAATCCCTCGGAACATTAACTTATTTGTGATGTTATATTATAGTGTTGTTAAGTACATTCTTATCATTGATTATAGATTAATACTTAGGAAAATGAAAGTAAGCATGTTGTTATATTCAGGTTATTAATAACTTGGCTCCATATAATAGGATATTGATAGTTTTTAATTTTTATCAAACAATTTATAAATGATAATTTCAGGTTTTCATTGAAAAATCTCTAAATAATCCTGAAATCCGTTCAAACAGGTTTAACAAATCTGTGAAACAGGTTAACTGAAATGTTCTAATGTTCTAATTTAAACTCTTAACAAACTTCTATAATATACTGAATTGGCGGTCGGATATGCAGAAAAGCAAAAATTTTGAACCAATTAGTGTAAGTTTAGGCTTGAAATTAATGCAAATTTTTTTATTTTTCTAAATTCAAATTGATTTTTTTTGGTAATTTTCAATTCCCAAGTTAATTTGAAATAAAATATGAATCAATTAACTCGTTAATTATACGATACTAGTCCTTGGAGTATTGTAAGAATGAAAGATGAAAGATTTCAGGTGTGATACTGAAATAATGACTAAATAAATTGAATGCAATAACTGGAATAATAACTTTAACTTTGTTAATCATTTAATATACTGAATTAATTTCTTAATTTCTTAATTAATTCCAACTCCTTTCGAAAAATTTTTATTAAACTTGTTTTGGGAAATATTAAGTAAAAGAAAAAAAAGTTGTCAAAATTACTAACAATTAACAAGTTAACACAAATAAAAAAAAATCTACATTATCAAAATATTTGACCTTTTTTCCCGTCAAAAAAAAAAATGATCGTTGATAATACGAGGAAAGGCGGGGGAAAAAGCAAAAAGCGGGTAAGAGAAAAAGTGAAATGTACGAAGTAATATATGTAATACATCAAACGAATCATCATCATCATACATTTCATATTAATCATTTTTTCCTTCTTCTTTCTCGACTTCATGTCAAGAAACTTTCCATTTCCCAAACTATAATGGCAATAAATCAACAATTCCATAATTTGCATATTTTGAAATTTAAATATGCTATGTCGATAAGATTGTATGACGATAAGAATACATGGTGTATGGAATATTATTGAGAGATGTTAGATACAACTTGTTACATTTTAAAATCTAATTTTAATAAAGATCAAAGAATAGATAGAACTCTTAAAATCAATCGTCATCATCGTTGACAATTAATTGAAGCATAGACTAAAGTGAGCATATTGCAAAAATTTCATCCATTGAATTATATGGGCAAGGGGGACGAATATATATATGTATATATGATGAGGTGTAAATGCATATAACACATGCTAAAGACACCAAAAATGGCCGATAAGAAGCATTTAAGCTTGTCATAGCTTATTCTATCTATTGAGTGCAAATATTCCAAATTTCAATCTTGCCAAGCTTTAAGCATATCGTTCAATGCTGATTAAATGAGACGAAAGAGAATTAGATTGGGTAGTAAATATGAATGTATGCAAATAATAGTGGAATATTTGCATGTGATAGAAAAGTAATTGAATTCCGCCATGCAATGGAAACCGTTGAAGGATAATTTAGGAAGAAAAATGATAAAATTTAACAATGAACAACGATGAAATATATGGAAATGTACACCCACGCATACAACACCCACATATGACACCTACGTATCTCCCACGCACAGCCGTATGCAGGTGTCCACACCCACATGTAACACCTACGTATCCCTCAAGCACACCCATACATAACACCTACGTATCCGCCAACCACTTCCAGATATAAACGCCCACACCCACACATAACACCTACGTATCTCCCAACCACGCTCGGATATAAACAGCCACACACATACACACATACACACTTATACAACGAAAATTGAAATTTGAATTCAATTTCAAAGGATTATGAAGTAAATTAGTGTTGAGAGATGACAATAAAAGCATAGGGGCAGTAATTGAGGAAATGAATTTTAGCAATTAGCGAATTTTGGTAATCAAATTTAGGAAAAGGAAAAAACGGTAATGAAGATTTAGAAAGGATGAAATTAAAGGACTAATCAGAATTGAATATACAAATATTTATCAAAATAACTCATCTGAACTAATTTTTACTTGCTGAATCGTACGAAACAGATTTTAGACAGATTCTTAACAGATTTTAGGTTTCGTTTAATCATTTCCGTTTATCTCTTCTTTCTCTTTTTTGGTTAACTATTTTTCCGTATATATTTATCATCAGATTCATGTAGTATAATGGATAATATGGATGAGAAATTCACTCGGAATAATGCATGACAAATTTTTGTTGACACAATGATGAAGCAAGCAGCTAAGCTAAAATTTACCCACAAATGGTGACAATGGATGGCACATTTAACTGAAGCCAAGCTCAAATATTACACTGATCCAACATTGGATGACATAAATGTGGCCAAGAAATCATGGATAATGAAATGCTAGGGACGATGAAAATGGAAAGAAAAAAAAGTAAAATTAACAAGCAATGCTAATTAAATAATAAATATCAGATAGAATTGAATTAATGGCTAGTACCATTATCATTAATTGCAGAAAATTATAGTAATAAAATGATTTCCATTCAAAGATAATGATAATTATGATAATTGATAAAAAAAATAATAGTGATTGCGATTATTAATTTTAATTTTCATTTTTTTCCATTCCATTTTTTTAATTGTTATTCAGTAATTTTAATTATTTTAATTATTACGAGTATCGATTTCCTTTTTTTAATATCCATTTATAGAATTCATTTAAAACTGAATCTTTGTTTTTTTCTCCTCTCTCCCAAATAAAACAAATTACTTTTTCATATTGTCGAAAAAATTATTTTGAGAAAAAATTTCAACAAATCTCATGGGATGTTGTATTGAATCGGAAAAAAAAAAAAGAAAATGAAATGAATAAGAAATGATAATATTAGGAATGAATTTTATTTGTTGTATGATATGATAAGAGAAGATAAATATTTATTACTGAGAAAATTAGTACAATTTCTCTCTTTCTCTCTCTCTCTCTCTCTCTCTTTCTCTCTCTCCCTTCCTTATTTCTCCACCACTATTTTAAATTTCGTTCTTTTTAAATGTTTAAAAAAAATTTTAAACTTTAGCAACAATAATAACAGATAACTGAAAATAGTACAAATTTAAGGAA